GACCTGTTTCGACAGAAATCAGATCTGAGTGAGACTACCTTGACTGACAAAGAAAGACGTCAACGTATTTGTTTATACATGTTCTTGAAAATTGATTAATCCTGCGTTGAACTGGAATTTTTAGGGTCAATAGCCACTCTGAAAATTCCACCGTGATGCTAATGGAATACTATTCCTGAGGCAAAGGCTTACTATTCYTGGAACCAGGAAACACTGTAAGTTATCATAGAAACAGAAGACMGCTTTGCCAGAGAACCAAACTTAGGGCAGAAGATGCGCATTTGGTGTGAGACACTAACACTTGTCATTTGTTATGGTTGATCTGTCTCCCCACAGAGGTCACTGCTCTGTGATTCTRAAGAACTGATTCTTGGCAAAGTTGGAAGCAATAAAATAAAAAGCATAACCTGCCACTGCCTTGCTTAGAAGGTATTTATAATGGATTAATGCAATGACTTGATATATTAATCTTACAAAGAGGTCAAGATTAGCTTGTAAAAAGCTCTTGGATGGTGTRAAACCTTTCTTTTATAGAACTAAACAATCCTTTGTTACTTGCACTGCTTTCTTTCCTTATTCCCACATCCAAATGCGAGATTTGCTGTCATCCCCCAGCTTATCTTCAGCAGAARCAGTAATTGCTTAAGAAGGAATCTTTCAAATTCGTTCCTCAAAGCAGTAAGTCTTGCTGTCATTGATAGTGATAAGAAGGTGAATTGTGTGCCATTGCTGATTTCTTTTTCTTCCTGCTGTTATTAATGTAGTGTTAATGTGACAATTTCAACCTGTTAAGATCTGACACAGGTTACCAGAAAGCTGTCAGATGCTTAGAGTTTCTGATGGAGGGGCAGAGCAACAGTGTTGAAAATAAAAGCTCCTTGTTTTAATCCTGTAACACTTAACACCTCATCAGCTGTAGAATGCATAACCAGATTTTGTCTTGAAAAGGTGAACTGTTCCAGACTACTTTTATAAACAACTGGAAGTTCTGAAAAACTTCTTGGATGTTTGAAAATTGCAATTGTTGGAAGATGAAGCAGATGTTACTGTGGTTATGAAATCAACCTTGTATTAACAATATTAGCTGTGTCTTCATTAGTTTGTGAATGTTGAAGCTTTTTATTGATTGTTTAAAATTGAACCCAGTAACAAGCAATAAGTTAATGACATCTTCTTCACACATAGGGGACAAAACTTAAATTTTCTGTAACTCGCTGGTAATCTTTACAAGAAATGTGATTAAGTTAATGTTTTAAAGTTGCCTCTTTCATTTAAATCGATTTAGATAGTTTTTTTATTTAAACCGTATTTCTAGTTAATAGGGTGAAGGCTTTGACTTAGAAAAAATTTATTGTGTTTTATTTTTTTAGTGTTTTTTTAATAAGACTGAATATCTGCCCTGTGGTGAAGATGCTGAACTTGTCCATACTGAAGTGTCTTAGAGATGTGATTCTTAGAGGAAGAATCATAATTACGAGAATAATCAAAAAGCATTGTTCTTGTCAATGAATGTTATTGATGGTAAAATGCACAGAGCAGAGTTTGAACTGATTGGTGATAGTTGCAATTATGTTCCTTACACCTAATTCTTAATGCTACATCACAGCAATTTGGCATGACTTGCACAGATCTCTTAAACTTGAGGGAAGGTTTCTTATATTGTGTGACCATAGCTTTTGAAACACAGAGCCTGAAGGACAAGAGTTGCTGGTCCATTGAATCAGCTTTATGTGACGGCAGTAGAATGATATGGCCCTAAAACCAGCCCAGCTTGAACTAGCCAGAGGAGGATTCCATATAGAACAAGGGCAGAAGAGCACAGTGTGATCTTCAGGGACAGAGCCGGTGACTGAGAACCTGCAGAGTTGTAGTGAAGRCATCTTTTTCTCTTTTAATGCCCCAGGTGCTTCCCGTCTAAGGATGTGATCTGAAGGTCCTGACCCTGCTAAGTTTTACCTTCASCACTCTGTATGTGTTGGAGCAGTGGAACTAGGGCAGACACGTCTTCTGGGTCTTCTTCTGAGGCTTTCAGAAAGGAAACAGTGTACTGCAGAAAAACTGAAGTTGCTTCAGGTCATTTGGAGTTTAACTGGGATTTGGGCTGGAGTGTTACAAGCCTGAAGAACTGAGTGATTTTAGGTTTGATATRATTTGTCTTTGTTTTAGTGGCTGTGACTAAAACAGCTGGGACAGCAGGGTGAAAGTGTACTCTTTAGCTTTTTAGTACAGTGTTTTATATACCAAGGAAATACGTAATTTCTCTAAGATATAAGTGATATGTAATCCCCTTGCAGAGCATATTTATATTTTTCCCACCTGTTTTGTATAGAGTTGAGGAGCTGTGCCATACTATTGCAAAGCTAGAGTCATGTTAGTGAGCCTTTTCTGGAGGGAGAAAGCAGTGACACAGCCGATAATCTGTTAAATCCTTCAGGCTGTGAAAAAGACTTTGGGGTAGGTAAATCCTAAGTAACACTAAAAAAATCATGTTGGACCTGTAGTAATGTAGTCTGATCTGAAACAGAAAAACATGCTTCAGTTTATAATTCATTGTAGATTACTTATTTTTTTTCTTGGAGATACTCCAGCTGGAGAAGCATGAGAGAAATGACCTTTCGTTTTAACATGATTGCTGTAATAGATAGGAAAAATGAGGATAGAGATACTATCCAGGAAATATATTTGTATTATTTTGGTCTTTCTTTGGTTTATATGTATATTGGTTTAAAATCCAGCCTTAGAAATGTTTTGTAAATCATCCTGTATAAATGAGGTTTTGTTTTGTTTTTTCCATTGTATGAGGTGGTCTTGGCAGTTTKTAGCATCTTCATCAGTGAGCCTTATACTTTTGGAACTTCATTCTGTAGTTCAAAGTGGTATTTCAGGATGCATGCATGGGAAYGTATCAAGAGATTGATGTTACTTCAAGGGTCTGCAGAGCCTGATGTCTCTCATTTGCTGTGCTCTTACAGTGATAAACTACAACCGAAACACTCCAATTGAATTTTTTAAAAAAACACAAAAAAAAACAAACCCCAAAACCCCAAACCAAAAAAATCAGATTCACAGGAAACAAATTTTAAGTACTTGTTGCAACTCAAATCCATGTATTATTCTTGCTTGTACTGTTCGGCAGCTTTTCCACAAGCATTGTCTGTTACAGTATGACAGTGCCTAGAACACAATGACATTGTAAATATTCAAGAAAAAAAATACAAAGGGAAGTACGTAGGTTCTAACTTGCAGTTACATTTTGTTCATGATGAATGTGACATTTTAAATTTAGGGGAATTACTCAGCTTCATAATGCAATATTGTATGCAGGTGTCACTGTTCTTTTGTAAGTAAGCACATGTTATGCTAAAAGATGTTGTTTTAAAATGCAAATTCTGAACAGTTGCTGGAACTTCCTAGGAAGTGGCAGAATTTGTTACCAAGGCCCTTAATTCTGCTCTCCTATGCCTTTGCATTACGATGTCTAATTGTATTGTTTCACACTATTTTTTCCTTCCTCATTCAGTGAACAGGATGGGTGGTGCTCAGGAATTGAGCTGCTACTTGATATTTTAGTCCTTATCATTCAGTTAGCAGCCTGGGCTTTATTTACTGCACACCATTTAAAACTCCCTAAAGAATACATAATTATTCATTCTCCCTTGGCTTTTTATCTAAGGTGCCTGGCTGAACTATTTTTGTCCATTTGATTGTATTTTCTTACGCATTTTCTGGTCAATACCTATAACTTAACTTACATTGCTATGTGAAATAAGTGTGTGTGCATGTACACAAATAAATATATATATATAGATGTATATTTATTTTTGCAAGAGAATTTTTAAGTTACTCCCTTTGATAACCTCTAGAATTGAAGCTGAGTGTCTGTTACTTACTTTAAAACAGCCTTTTGTGAGGTCACTGTAAGTAAACATAAAAGATTGCAATTAAATTACTAAATGCATCCAACCACCTAAGTTGAGCCATTGGCACATGGAACCTTGCCTAGCAKGATGCCCTTCAACTTCAAATGTATCTAGACCGTGTATCCTCTAGATCAGACAAATTGTCGTTTTATTTGAATGCAATTGGTTCTCCCTGCTGGGTMTGATTACAAAGAGGGCTTAACTAATGAAGCATTCAGAATATAGGTTTTTGTGAGAAATAAACAAAAATGCTGTGACTGGGTTGGATCAGAGGGTCTCCAGAGGTGCCTTCCAGCCTCAGCTATTCTGTGATTTATATGACAAGGCAATCAGATACACTTGTGGGTATATGTATTTTGTCTGTTTCTGATGGGCAAAACTATGTGGGTCTTGTGGCTTTCTTCTACACTAAAATAGTAGTAAAATCTTTGTTTTGCAGTTTCCATTTGACTAGCAGGCTATTTTGTCAATCCCTTAAAATGTTGTTTATCTGTGAAACTATAATTTGACTATTTAGCTGTTCTCAGCAAAAGCTATATGAAAGTTTAACAATGGTGCTTCTGTTGTTATGTGAGTACTTTGCAGAAGATTACAAAAAATTATAAATATTTATCATGGACGAAACTGTTACGTACTTCATGTTTTTTGGGTTTAAGACTATAGTGTAGAAAGCTTGGTGGCAATGGTCACCTATTCAGTGTAATACTGTTACTAACTTTTGCAAATGATGAGTATTGGAAAGAATTTAGTTTAGCTTTGTCATTGTCTCTTGCAAATTTAGTAGTGTTGCCAGTGCATCATAGCTGACTGTAAGGCTTTTYGATAAGATCTGTCTGTTGCTTGAAATATTTTAATATTGTTGCAACAAAAAGGTYTAGACTTTTCCAAATACTAATGTTGATATTTCATATTGGAAAGAAAGATGATATATGTAAAATTTGTAACATCTTTTGCAGTCCCAGTACTCCACTTCTGTGTCTGCTGCTGATGGGATAAGAGGATTATGGTATTTGTCTYAGAAAGGCCTCTTGCAATTAAAATRTTTTATTGCTAATGCACTGTAACTTTTTTCTGTTGCAGAAGGAGTTGAGCCTTCCAAGAAGAGGAAGTTTGTAAGTATATGAAGTTTTTCTCTATTGTGCTTACAGTGTAGTATGTATTTTTAAAGTAGGCTAGTTTTGGAGTAGGTTATTCTTCTTTTCAGGGAAGTTAGAATGGAGATTAAATGTGGCAGTTGAATGACCCTTAAAATACATACAAAGAAATGAAAATTGTTGGTGGGTTGCGCAGTCACCATTTTTATGCCCACCTTTTGGAAAAGCTATTGTGAGGGATTTTCAAGTTCTTAAGTTCAAGTTTTTGTTTCATATTAAAAGTTTTTCTTAAAAATCAAGGAATAAATCTGATTTCTTTGTGAATGTTATGAAATAAACTTGTAAGTAAAMTGGAATGTGAAATTCTGTGAACAGTCGTGTGGATGAGAAGGTAGGAGCAAAGCACATGGATGCAAGCTACTAAATGTATAGGATTGTTAAGCTACTATTWTGATTATGGAAGACCATGTATTCTTGTATAATTTGTTACTTAATACAAATGAACTACTATAAATTGTTACTTACGTAATAATATAATTAATGTGTTTAATTGTACATTGCTCAGATTTCTGTACCTTGGCTTTGGTTTTCTAGTGGTTTTGAGATGTTTGGTTTTAAAGCTTGTATTTTTTATTTGCATCTGTCTAATTTCTTATTCTGTATTAGTAATTTGTTGAGGAAGTATTGGGATAAGAACATTACAAAATGTTGTAAGAAACAAATTCTGTTCCATTACTGCTTTATTTCAAAAATGCTGTGGTACCGTAAGATGATCCACAGATTATAGATGGATAAGCTTGTGTTAGCGTGACAACACGTTGTGAATAAAATGCTGTGCCCTTGCACAAGAGGCCAATTACTTGGTTTCAGCTTGATAGTGCTGTGTAGCTTTTAGTGATAGGAGGTGAGATATGTGAATAACTGCAGCTCTAACTGCTGGGAAAGTGCAGTGAAGTGCYCTGTTGTTCTTACTCAAAAGCCATACCAGAAGTCTGTACTTCACAGGATATCTGCTGTCTTGGAAAAGACTCTTGTTTTAGGTTCTGACGCATGAGAAGTCTTATGCTAGACAGTAAGCAAACCCATKACGTAAGAAGTCAATAAAATAGAAAATTAATTTCCTGTCAAGTATTTATTTAAGTATTTCAGTGACAGAGAGAAAACTAGTTAGAGAAAGTGATTTTTGGTGCATTCTTTTGGTGTCCTTGGCGCTTTATATTAACCTGAAACTGTTGTGTGGGCCGAAGGCTGCCTCCSTTAAAGTTAATGGCTAAACTCCCATTCACTTCAACCAGAGCAGAAAGTGCCTTTTGGAACTTGWTCTTGCTTGCTCTTGCTAGGATGTTTGGCATTGAATGTTATTAGTTATTTTACTCAAAATTTGAAAAAAATCACTGCAACACAGTCTCCTCAATTGCATTCACATACATATTGTTTTAGCTGATCACTGAGATGTAAGTGGATTTTTCTGTAATGCCGTTTAATAAAGTATAGTAAAGAATAGCATCTTGTAAGCATAATCATACCTAGTTATTAAAGTGCTTAGGTTTCTGCAGATGGTTGTAATGGGTTGACCTGGCTGGATGCCAGGTACCCACCAAAGCTTTTCAATCACTCCCCTCTGCWACTAGGCAGAGTGGAGAAAATGGAATGAAGGGTTTATGGGTTGGGAAAAGGTCTGGRAGAGATCACTCACCAGATAACTGTCACAGGCAAAACAGACTTGAATTGGGGTATTAATTGAATTTATTACTAAAGAAACCAGAGCAAGATAATGAGAAGTAAAATACATATTAAGACACTGTCCCACACCACTCCATCCTTCCCAGGCTCTACCATTCCCCTYGCAGTAGCACTGGGAGATGGGGAATGGGTGTTGTGGTCAGTTCATCACACGTTATTCTTGCCACTGCTCAGGGAGAGGAGTCCTTCCCTTGCTCCAGTGTTGGGTCCCTCCCATGGGAGACAGTTCTCCATGAGCTTCTCCAAAGTGAGTCTATCCCATGGCARCAGTTCTCCATKAACTGCTTCAGCATGGGTCTCTTTCCACAAGGTGCCATCCTTCAGCCCCAGCCTGTTCCAGYSTGGRTCTCCCACAGGGTCACAAGTCCTACCAGGAAACCTGCTCTGGTGTGGGTTCCTCTCTCCATGGTCTGCAGCTCCCTGCCAGGACGCTGCTCCAGCACAGGCCTCCCAMRGGGTCASAGCCYCCWCTCAGCATCCCCCTGTTCCAGTGTGGKTTCCTCAYRGGCTGCAGGTGGATCTCTGGATCTCCAGGGACCTCCATGGGCTCAGGGGCACAGCTGCCTCACCATGGGCTGCACCACGGGCTGCAGGGCAACCTCAGCTCTGGTGCCTGGAGCACCTCCTGTCCCTCCTTCCTTGATTTGGATGTCTGCAGGGCTGTTCCTCTCACATACTGTCACTCTGCTCTTCTCTGGCGGCAGCTAGACCTGCCAGTAACTTTTTTTTTCCCCTACATAAATCTGCTGTCACAGTGGTGGTAGCCTTGGCCAGTGGAGGGTCTGTTTCAGAGTTGCCTTGCATTGATGTGCCAGATGTGGAGGGAGCTTCTGGCAGCTTCTCACAGACGCCACCTCTGTAGTTCCCCTGCCACTGAAACCTGGCCATACAAACCCAATACAATGATACTTTTAAACAACTTTGATTGTCCTTAATCAAAAGGGCTCAGCCACAGCAATGGCTGTGGAATCAGGGGTTGTGTGCATGGGTAGTGCTGGCTGCTGTATTTGCATATTATATCCATGTTGACGTGAAGACTGAATTTCAAAATATGTACAGTCCTGTGTTTTCATAGCCATAGACAACTAGAGATCCTGAACAGCTCCATGCAGGCCCATCCCACCATCTTTCAGAGCTTCAGGGCCCATGCCATGCCAGGGATAGATCTTTAAGCAGGATCGGGGGAGCTGTTTCAGGGATGAGCAGTATAAGCATGGTTGGCATAAAGTGAGATAAAGAGCAAGGAGTGAGCTCTTCTGTGCTTGGAGCACCCCCTGGCTGTGTTGGCACACTTTTTCTGTGGACACAGCCAGAATTGATCCAGGTTGCTACTAGCTTCATGCAGGTTCTTCAGCATGTTAAACTGCCCAACTGCACAAATGCCTTTCTTTGTGGCAGCAGGGTGTGGAGGCTTGGAGGCAGGATGAATTGATGGGAGCTTTCTCTCAGGCTGACTCCAGCAGCAAAACTGACTTTATATGAGTTTAATATGATTGTAAACCTGCGTGGCTGTTAGTATCTCACTTTGCAAGCTCATTGGAAAATTACTTTGAAATATTTTTGAACACTGCCACTATGGGGATGGGTTATTTATACCTTGGTAGGATATTTTTATTGATTTATTTTCATCAAACACTTCCAACCCTGAGTTTAGGTTGGTTAGGTCATGGCGCTAATACCTCCAAGGTTGTGGGTTTGATCCCTGTATAGGCCATTCATTCAAGAGTTGGATTTGATGATCCTTGTGGGTCCCTTCCAACTCAGACTATTCTGTGATTCTGTGTTAAGCCAGATGTGGAAATACAGGTTTATTTGATCAAAATTAAGTGTTGCTGTTTGTCTGTGAAGCACACAGATGATGAACCAGGGAATGCCTGATAGCACATACACATTGCTATCCATTACACATTCGTAGTGTATAGTTTGCCAGAGATGGTCTCTCAGTGTGTGTTAAGCAGGTGAGTTTCCATCACTGAATTTAAGGCATGAGTATCCTTTTCCTGATTTGTTTCCTTACCATACTGGCCGAGTTCAGGAAAATGAAAACTAGATGGAGAAAGGGCATGAACTCAAACATTGTGGCACAAAAATCAGACTCATTTTCGTAGAGTAGGTGCATTCTGATTTAAAATAACTTTCTTCTAAAAACAGATTTACAGCAGGCCTCTCTGAGATGGAGAGGAGCCTTTAGGAACAGCAGTACATAAAAAGAAGTAGAGGTGGTTTTTCCTTTTCTTAGAGACTCAGTGCTTGAAGTACCTGCCCTAGAAGTAAAATACCTGACTTTTCCAGACTAAATCTGATCTCTTTGTGTCTTCTTTTGTTTAATATTTCAATTTCGATTGAATTTGGAGGTGGATCGCTTTGATGTATTTATTTTTGCAGCATCTCTCCTTCTCCTGACCTTTCTGAAGCTAATTTCAGTAATTATAAAATACGGACTCAAGTTCAGTACCAGCAATTATATAATCTGCTTGCACCTGTGGAAATGTCAAAGTTTCATAAAACTAATTTATGCATTTCAGTGAAACAGTTGGTATCCTTGGATAACAACAACATAAGATTGTGACAAGCCAAGAATGCAAGAGAAACAGTAGTTAAAACAAACCACTGCTGGCTTAGGTGCCTGATTAAGTAAGCCTCAAGAAAGGTAAAAACAATTTTGTGAGGAAGTTTTTTTTAATCAATGAAAAATACAGAGTATCAGTTATCCTTAGGGAAAAAGTGGGAAAGATCCATAGTGTGGAAAAAGAAGAAAAAAAGCCGTGAGGCCCATGTCATGTAGGTGAACAAATCAGAATTTGATTGACAGTTTCTGTGTGCAAATACAGATCTATATCATAAAAAATTGGCTATGTTTATAGGTGACCTGTTACCTTGAATTTGGAGAGTGGAGCAGTAATGAATTTCCAGGTAATGAATTTCTTAATTCTAGTACAGATGAATTGTCCTCCAGTAGATTTTCTCCACAGTCCGTTTGATTTTCAAGTTGCATATTTGATGTTGTTACTAGTATCGTTTCAGTCCTCTACTTTCAGGGGTTTTCCACTGCTGTCACTGAGTGGAATTTTTTTCCCCTACCTTTCTTGGATTCCTTGTGATTGACAATGAAAATCTCAGTTATGTCTTTTGTATGATTTAGGAGCCAACAGTTACTGTAACATGACCCTTTCCCCTGACAATCTTGCTTACTTCAGCCTCCGTAAATTCTATGCAAGTGTGCTGCCCATTGTCTGTGTTTCCTTCTTTTAAAGCTGTGCTGGGCTAAYGGGGAGTTGTGGCACGTGCAGTGTGCTGGGCAGCCTTGTTGCCACCTTCCTGTTGTCAGT